CATCCTTGAGGCCATAATTCTGAGAGTCCTCCCTCTACAACACAAATAGAGGATCATGCCTCCTGACTGGCACCTGGTTTTTCTAGCATTTTGTCAGTTACGGTATTAACTCTTCACCTCCCCTCTGGAGCTTCAGTATGTCAGTCCTGTAGGTCTTTGCTCTTCTCTTTCTGTCCCTCTCTCTCCCCTCTCCCCTCCCCCACAAGTCTGGATTTGCATATAGTGACCCATTTGCACCACAGAATTGTCCTGACCAAGAGGAAATAGGAAGTAGTACTGCTCTTGTGTGCAGGTACATCATATCTTGAGCAGTACTTTTCTTGGTTTGCTGCAGCAAACACAACAAATGTAGAGTGACACTTTTATTCTTCTACAGTTAGCCAGTGTGCTTATTGTACACACATTTCAGCTTTACAGTAATTGTCACAGTATGTTTTTTTTTTTGCATTTCATTTCCTTCTGATCCCAGCATTTATATTTTTCGCCCTTTATAGTGTAGAGTTTGTATTCCTGCATATGTTGTTCAGCTGTTCAGTCATGTCCAAGTATAAGCGATCCTATGGGCCAAATCTTGCCACATTTTCTGCTCCCATACCACCTCTTTCAGCTGAACTATGCTCTGACCCACATCCTCTTTGATGGAGTCTAACCACATTGCTCTTTGGTGGCCTGGTGTTCTCTTGCTGCTGAGCATTCCAAGCATTATATCATTTTCTAATGAGCTTGATTTTAATGTGGCCAATTCAATTTCAACATTATCAACTGCTATTTTGATGACTTCATTCTGTGCAGTTGTCAAGATCTTTGTCTTTTTGATGTTCAGAAGGAGGCCGAACTTCTCACTCTTTTCTTTGATTCTTTGGATCAATTGCTTTAGACCAGGGGTGTCCAACCCATGGCCTGCGGGCCACATGTGACCCAGGATGGTTATGAATGCAGCCCAACATAACATCATAAACTTATTTAAAACATTATGAGATTTTTTGTGATTTTTTTGTGTAACTTAATTGCACAGTTCTCAAGTGTGAACTTTATAGACGGCAGCATTGTGTTACAATGTCATGTAAAATAAACATACATATGCTCTCACTATTTGAACACATGCATGGCTTCAATTTTATGGTGGTGTGAGGCTTCCAGTATGTTATCTTCCAAGCACAGACAGTTGAATTGACACCATCAGACATTACATGTCCCCATGGTGATTGGGCAAGTGAAACACAGCTATTATCAATAATATTTCAGCCTACTGCTGCAAACATTTTTATACATTTTGACATGTTTGCTAAACACAGTCCTGTGAACAGCAAAAAATATGCAGCCTTGCTTTTCAATTTGATACAAGAATTTGAAAACAGATTTCAAGATTTCCAGGAAAACAATCACTATTTTGGTATATTTGCAACTCCATTTTCAGTTGACATAAATATGTTACCTGCCAGTTTTCAAATGGAATGCATAGAGCTGCAATCTGATATTTAACTTAAAGAAAAATTTGATCATGGACTTTTATAGGTTCTATCTTCCCAGAGACAAATATCCCTTGCTTCACAATCACTCATTCATGTCCTTGCTTTTTGGCAGCACCTACATTTGTGAGCAACTATTTTCAAGAATGAAGCACACTAAGAGTAAAATTAGAACCCAAATATCTGATTGGCACCCTGAGAACTTACTGAGAATTGCAACTACTTCCATCAAACCACATATCGATGCATAAGTTTCTCAAGTACAATGTCAAATATCCCACTAATTTTATGTGCCCCTCTTTTCATTTACTTTTATAATAAATATATCAAAAACCAATGAAGCTTTAGTACTTAGATATGTTCATTTTCTATATTAGTAATTGCAAACTTGGGACCTGTTCAATGATTTTAAAAGACTATCCAAACAGGGCACCAAATAATTAAGGATTATTATATGAGGACTTCTTTGCTTATCTGTGGTGGTGGATATCACAAAAATTAGGCACAGACCTTTTCTGTTTTTTGCTCATTGGTTTTTGTTGGTGTTTGTGTATTTAATGTGCGGTCCAGGACAAATTTTCTTTTTCCAACGTGGCTCAGAGACGTCAAAAGGTTAGGCACCCCTGCTTTAGACCTTCCTGGGTTTCTGAGAGGAGGATTGTGTCATCAGCATATCAAAGATTGTTGATGGTTCTTCCTCCAATCCTTATCCTGACTTTTGATTCTTCAAGATCCATCTTCCTCACTATTACTTCAGCATACTTGAACAGAAAAGAAGAGAGAATACATCCTTGTCGGACTCCTTTCTCAACCATTCCCGCATATACCTGTTACCAAGTCATTTGATAAAGTGGGTTGCAGTCCATGAAAGCTTATGCCATAATAAATATACTAGTCTTTAAGATGCATTAGGATTCTTTTGTTGTTTATCCTGCAGATAATGTTTGATTTTAAAAGTTTATCTTTTTTGTGCCCTGATTACTGCTTTCTTCAGAAGCTCCAAATCCTTGGATGGGGGAGAATCTACTGACTCAGAGCAGCTAGAGAATAATGCGCAAACCTATTACTGATAGCCTTTCTTCCCCACTATCCTCAATTGTTGCATACCAATCTATATTGTAAGTTGTTCTCATTTCACTCTTTCTACCACAATATTCTGTCTCTTTTATAATGTTCTTCCTACTACATGAGTCTGTACAAAACTCCACTTTACTTAATGGCCATAATCTCATTAATTCAACTTCTCTTCTAAATACAAATATATACGAATGCTATGCCTACTCACTTGAGGGCTGCTCATTAGAGGCAAATTGCAATCTAGAAATAAGTCATTTTGAGATTTGTGTAGTCTGTTACCTACTTTTTAATTTTCATATAAGTTTTTCTTTTTTGGTGAGTCGATGCTTGCTGTTTTGTTGTCATTCAGGAGTTGTATTTGGAAATGATTGTTAATACAAAGAGGTAAAGCACAAAGAGCTCCAGCTATTGGACAGTCCAAAGGATGGATGGATGGATGGAGCAGAGGTAGCATGTCTGTTTCTGCCACATTACTTATTCATTAAGGTTTTTATATTCCCTATTGCAGATACTCTGGACAGGTTATAAAACAGAGCACAGTATTTTCAGTGTTTTAACTTTAATTAAATACTGCAAACTTTGGAAACTTCTGTGTTCTGAAACAGACAGCTGACCACTGGTCCATCTATTTCAGTACTGATTACTATGATTGACAGCAGTGTCTGCTTTCCAGCCCTACTAGTTAAACTCATTTTACCTGGAGATGCCAGGAACTTGAGGATAAGTTCATGGAAAATATGTACCACTGTGTAAGGTGAAACAGTTCTTTCATTCTAGGACATTTGGAAACCACTCTGAACAATTGGGAATAGACTGAGGACTTTATGCAGTTGGTCTTTAGTGTCTCTGTCTTCCCAATTCATCAGAAAATTGAATTGCTTATCAGGGGTGAGCAACAGCCCGTAGTCTGGGGGCCACGTTTGCCTCCACTCCACCTGTGGGTGGACTAAGTCTATGGGGAACTCCGGAGCACCTGGAAAAAAACAAATTACTGGTTTGCCGCTAAAATTCAGTAGCAAACCACTTAGTTGTGCCACAGTGGTATACTCTGGCCTGTTTCCAAGCTAAATTGAACTGTTTTAGCACTTTATATTGACTGCAGAGTACTACCCAAGATAAAGCTAGTCATTTGGGTGCTCTGTAGCTGCGATGGATACTGTATTTTTCTGGGTTTAAAATTTTTTTTTGGTTGGAGTGATGGGCCTCAAGAAGGGGGCATTAGGGGGCACATGTGTTCCACAAGCCATGTTTGTCCACCCTGGGCTGTAGGCAGGTATGTCTGTAGGTGTTGTGTTTGCTGCCTTGTTTGAATTGCTAGTATAGGTCTTTATCTTCCCTTATATTGTGAGATACAGGTCTCTTTAACATGAAAACAATAGATCTGTATATGATGTCTCTCCTATGTAATGGGATATTATAAGATATCTTATTCCTGTGTTCAGCTTTTGCATTTATCTCTGTGCATTTTCAGCTAATGCGAGATTTAGCAAGATGCTGGATTTAACCAAATCTCCTAGATTTGTTTAAAATCTTAAGTCACTTCAGCAGAACTTGTGCTTGAGCTTTACATTACAAAGATGTAGTTTCTACACTACTGCTCCCTTCATCCTTTATGCCATACCCTTGAAAGTGTGTCAATAGATAATTTGGCCTGATTTACATGTTAACATTAAACATGCTATGTAAAAATACAATCAGGGCATTTCACCTTTTTTACCTTAACCTGAAGCATCCATATGGGAGAGCTGATTCAATTGACACTGTGGTATAGAAGAGGGAATGTAACATCTCCTTGTCCTGTGATCCAGATCTAAATCGGGCCCTTAATGGCTAAAAAGGCACAGAAGAATTTTTTTTCCATTGAAACAATTCTTTCACTTTCTGGCCAAGAAGATGAGCACTTTTGTGTATATCCCCCTTTTTTTTCTGGAATACCAAGAAAGTAGCTGGTGATTCAAAGCATTTCCAATATTTTGCAGTAGTAGTTCTCTTTTTCTATTGTATAGAATTAGGAGTTTTCATTCTGTTGCAGAGAATGAATATTTCTGATATATGGGAAAGCTCTGGGTTGTACTGAAATCATAGCTGCATTGCACTCGGTCTGATTTTCAAACGGGCAAGACAAGGTAGCCTCTGTGCTGTCTGGGAGCTCTGTTCAACTATGTATCTCTCACTGTATGACAGCATTGCATGCCCTTGTTCTCAATCCTTCCCACAATTCATGAACAGTTTCCTGAAAGCAAAGAATGAGGTCAGTTCCTCCTAGAGTATAGTAAAGATGTGGAAGCGGATGGGAGAGATGATCCCCAATTCATTTGCTTGGAGCACCCGCAACAAGGGTTGTGTTCTGGAGGGAGGGAGTTGCTGTGGTGATAATGATGGTGATGATGTTGCTACTGCTGACGACTGGCTTTGTTGGCTAGTCACCAAGTTGTTCTTTCCTGGGTCTTTCAGTGGCTACAGAGGCAGAATGCTGATTTCTCCTTCATTCATGAAGTCTACGTCCATGGACACAGACTTTCCCAAGGAAGCTTCTTGGCACATAAGAATGTGCTTCCACTGGACTACATATTATGTAAGCATCTCTTATTCCCATTTTTCTGCCTTTTCTGTTTGACTCTGGAGTACCCATTTCTGTGGCAGGTAGCATACTAATTTGAATGCATGGATTTTTCTTCTATGCAAGTACAGATATATCCATGAATTCAGATTTAGCTGTTCGTATTCTAATCCCGGTGCAAAGTCCTTTCTGAACCTGCGGTAATCCTTTACTATTTTAAGTGGTCAGTACATGTACTCATAATCATTTAACAAATTAGTTAGCCTTAAGTATGAATTAATTGCACTAATATGCACAAACAGCCTAGTTATATTGTGGTAAAAGTACATTTTCCCACCCTTTTAGTGCCATGAGTATGACAGAACAGGAATTCTAACTTCTGTTACAGATTGTGAGTACAGTGGTGATATAGTAAAAGGATATGATACAGCCTTTGTGCTTTCTTGATGGACTCATAATAGCTCTCTGATTTTTGAGTCCCCAAATTCATGGACTTTTCATATATATATATAAAAAATCTGTCTCTTCTAGCTTTTAGAACAGGAAAACAAGCTGCTTTATTGTTAGTTGCAAATGGACATATACTCTTAATTTTCACATAATGTTTATTTATTTGACCTGGAAATAGGTTCAGAAGTTAGTCATATAGAGAATATTATATTTGCTAACATGAATAGGACATCCCATCTCAAGGCTACTTGTTGCTCTTAAGCATGAATCGCTCTTGGCTCTCATTTGCTCTATGGCAGCTTGAAATGGTGCACAATGGCAAAATGCAAGGTAGATTTCAATTACTTGTTTCTGGTTGGGATCAGCAAAATGTATGTGACACGTTTGCAAAGCTTTGTAAGGAGAGCTACAAATTCAATACACTGATCCCCAGTAAAATAGGAAAGAAGGAAAGGTAGTAATGTTTGTCATGTTTCTTTGTGAGACGGGGGATACTTTGTAAAAAGAAAATGAGAGGTGTCACCAGGGATATTGACTACAGAACCAGCAGGTTCCTTGTTACATCAGCTGGTTGAAAGGGCAGCTGAATGATTAATAAGTCAGAATAAGATTAATTGTTTGCACTACTCCAGGTATAATGAAAATAAAGCATAAACTTTAAAACAGTACACCTGGTTGTTAATATAATAAAAGAATATTGACTGATATTTTATTTTATTATTATTCCTCTACATTGAATACTCAGTGAATACAAATCTGCCCCTCACAGTTCATATGGTAAAAGAAGGAGGATTCATGAAACATTTTCTCAGATAGAGGGGAAAAAGGCAGGGAAATGAGGAGGATTTTCTTCCCTCTATTTTCCTTTCCACTCCAATCCCTCATTCCCATGCATGCTTCCTGGCCTAATTCAATTAAGGAGAACTGTTGTTGGAAGTAAAATTTCTTATGCGTAACATTGATGGATCAAGGACTATGTATCCAAATGTCCATAGAACTGTAGATGCTATCTCACCAGTGGTGCATTGCTTTCAAATCCTGAGGTGAATGAGGGAATACATCTGAATGTTGATTCTCACAATGCAATGCAGATAGAGTGCATCTGTGCTAGAATGTGCATTTGGTTTATCCCACTCACTCTTTGAATGACAAAGGGAAATTGCCTTTTCAGTTTAAAGGATGCTGTGCAGAAGTAAGTGTGTGTGTGTGTTGGGAAGTGGGGTTAGTTGTGCTTAGAGAATGTACACCTGAATGGGCATCTTGTCTAAGTCCAATTCCTCCTTCCATGTTTTCTTTTAAAGGAAGAAACATTTGATAAAAATTACAAGGTTCTTCCTTGTGGTCAGTGTGCATCACACATACGAATCTTGTGCCTGGCCAGGACGTGTTGTCAGGAAAATTTTCCTAACCAAGCTTACAAGATTCTGTATGAGGGAGTTGGAATTAGAGAGTCCAGATGCAATAGTACTTTTAATATTCTATTTTTCAACAGAGAAAAAATAATGAAACAGTTAACTAGTTACATTTAGCAGCCTTTGAAATGAATGTTTTTCCCTCCTATTTTAAGTGAGGGAAAAAGCAAGTAACTAGTTAAAAATTAAGTAGATTTACAAGAAATAACTGAAATACAGAATATTGTCTGTTAGTATTATTTTTCATTTTCAAATGCACAATGTGGATTTCTTTTCATTAAGTCTACAGGAGCACACTAATTTACCCAGAACTTACTTTTCATTTACTTTTTAAAAACATATTTAATTTAGTTTTTAAAACAGCAGTATTTTAAATGATAATTGCTATTTAAGAAACATAACATATACTACAAATGTTCAGAATTCTGATTTTTTTAATCACAAAATTTCACTGAGCAGTATAAATCTCTGCTCAGCTTATAAATTTGTTAAATTAAGGATAGTTTATTTACTCACCTATCTTCTGGAGTGTGTAAACCTCAAATGAAAAATGCTCCTTCCCACTCTTGCTGGGATAAGTGCCTTGGCTTGCTTATGCTAGTTTCTTTTTTTTTTTTGCAGCCAGTTGGCCACCTTATTGAGTTATCTATCTATCTATCTATCTATCTATCAATCAATCAATCAAGACAGGCTTTTATATGCCATTCCCCATAGCCAATTTGACACTCAGAACAGTTTACAAGATTAAAACTAAGGTTAGATTAAAAATACAGTAAAATAGCAAAATAATCATACTACATTGCAATAACAATACATTTCAGCAGTTCCACCAAATAATACTATTAATAGTAATATTAATTTTAATAATTAATGTGCATTTAGTATTAAAAGAAGAAAGAGGCTATTTGTTAAGAATAAAAATAAAAATATTGTAAATATTTATTTATTTATAAAATATATTTTAAAAACTGTCTGCTTTATTGACAGAAAATTCTGGCATGAACTAAAAACTGTTAGACTTATAATTATTAAGAGATGATATCTTCAAGGAGGGAATCATATATTTTGTTACTCAAATAAAAAGTACTAGAGTTTCAGTAAAGAAGTATTATTCCACAAAGGGGCAAAGAGTATGGCAGGGAAAACTGGGAAACTCTTCTTCATAGGTTTCCAGTTTTGTTTTGTTTATCTTAAGAGCCAAGGAATGCAAAATCTTTTACAATTTCAATTTCTTCATTGTTGACAGTAAAGTTCTGTAATTCTTCTGTGGACATGATTTTTGCTTTTTTATATTAGCTATAGTTCTGCTTTAGCACTTTAAATCAGAATTTGTTACAATTCATTGCAGTTTTATGCCAATATTATGGCATCATCTGTGTATCTTCAATCACTGATGCCTCTTCTATAAATTTCACTCCTTCCTCTGATCTTAATCCAGCTTTCTTTTATGATTTGTGCTGCATACAAATTGAAGATATACGAGGCACTTTTATATTTTATAAATATATTTTATATATTTTTTGCTGATGGCATTAAAAAGTTGGTATGACACTGGGAAAAATGCATCACAAAGGAAGGTGACTATGTAGAAAAGTGATGTAATTTGTTTTTGAAATTCTTAATAAATAGAGTTTTAAAAGTGTGGAAACTTTTTGAAGATCCCTTTTATATAGAGAAATTGAAGATATATATCCTTGCCTATAAGAAATAATTCCATTTCTCTGTATTCTTTCCTAACAGTAGTTTGTTGTCCTCAATACAAGTTACACATAAGGACAATTTATTTATTTATTTGTGATATTTATATGCTGTCCTATTGCAAAAGCCTCAGGACGGCTTACATAAATAAATACAAATATCAATATACATAAATTATAACAAAGTATCAACATAAAGTGATTCAATCAAGTGTTGAAGCTCACCATTTTTTTCTTTCCAGGGCTATCTATAACATCTTTTAACCCACTTAGTCAAAACCTTTGGAAGATCGTGATCTTCTTTTGAAATTCTTTGGTGCACTCCAGTAGCCAATGTGTATTTGCAATATCATCTCCAGTGCCTCTTCCATTTCAAAATCCAGCTTGCACATCAGGCATTTCTTGTTCCATATAAGATAAAATTCTTTGTCACAATACCATAAGCATCACTTTGCTTGCATGGGAAAGTAGTGCAATGGTTCTGTAGCTGCTGCTCTGAATATATACTGAATGTTTGTGGTCTTTCCATATTTTTGGTATATATAACCAATGTGCAGCTTGAAATACTTCTGTTGGTATCCTATGAGTCCAGGTGTTGTATCCCTTGCAAGTGCTCTCAAAGCAGCTTTCACTGCGCTTTCTAATATTGCATACTCTTCTTCATAGGATTCCAGTTTTAATGAGTCTTTCACACTTTTATCTTTTCTGTTTAGTTCTCTGTATTATTTCCACCTTATTTTCTTCTTGTCAAATAGCATTGGTCTTTCAGCATTCCCAGTCTAAGTTTGAATTTCACTCTTGTTTTTTGGAATTTCTGGAAGAGGTTCTTGTTTTTGCTTTATATTTTTGGCATAGTTGATTTCTGTTTTGGCCATCTGATGATGTTCACATGCAAAGTTCCCTCATGGGTTGCCTGAAGAATAAAGAGATAGTTGGCTTCACAGTATTCTCCAAGTCACTGTTCTGCTTCATTTGTGATCTGTAGGCCAAATTCTCCAATGGCATTGGATTCTGCTTTGTTTCCTACTTTTCCTCTTAGGCCTTGTTGCATCATTAGCGACAGTGCTATTTGTACTTGTCCTTTCCTCTTCCCCAGTAGGTGGTTGAGTGCCTTCCAACCTGGGAGCCTTATCTTCTGGTACTATCTTTTGTTTCATTTTAGATTGTCTCATTATAGGGTTTACAAAGTAATAAAATCCAGAAATGGGTTACCAGTGCTGCCTCCTACTCAGTAGAATTAGCTTGAGTATCTGTGGGGTTGTGTGTGAAAGATCCTCCACTGGTGTTGCCTTCAACTACCAGTGCTGCCCAATAGCTTCCTTTCAGAAATGTCTCTACTCCCATCACCATTAAAGATATTCATTCTCTTCTGCACATTTGGCAGTAGTTTGCTCCATATCTGGTCCGTGTACCAGGAGCAGCAAAACAGTGTCCTCCATCACTGAGGTATATCAGC